CCCCAAAACCCCAAAACCCCTTAAGAGTAAAAATTATAATTTATAAACGGTTGACTAATTAATGTTAGAAACTTAGGATTAATTTAATGGTTTTATTTATGTCAGATAAGTACTAATTGTATGAGAGTTCAATTTTTAAATTATAACTAAGTCTCTAACTCCAGAATATAGGTTAATAGGTCATTTTTCTCTTTTTTAGATTATTAAAATTAGATCTCTTATTTCTTAAGCTGTTCCTTTAAATCCTAAATAAAAATCTATCAAAATTTATGACACTTACAGTTATTTCTTTATCCTTTTAGCCTAGAAGTGTTTCTAAAAAGATTTTATCAGCCTCAAAAATATTATGCATCAAATCTTAGTTACCAATCTTGCCTTAGCATTTTGAACATTTCAAATTTTCTGTGTTTATTTAAGTTGTCACTATATTAGTGTTAGACCCATTTTTCTTCGAAACAGATTTTCTAATTAAGGTTTTTCTCCCACTCTAAGTTCCATCAGTAGTTAGGTTTTGCGATGGTCTTACTACCTCTGTCTAATTTCTGCTTGCAATTGTATCTCTTCTTTATTTATGTAAGGGCAATAGATTTGGAGGTTTGATACTATCTCTGTGCTAATCTAGCCTGTCAATTATACTCTATTTTGGTATCCCATCAAAATTTTTAAGCAAGTCCTCATCATCATCTCCATCTCCAAGAATTTTTTCGTCCATAAACTGGAATTCCTCACCATCGAATTGACCATTATTAGAAACCTAAGTTTTATCTCTTTTACTAATAAAAGATCCACCAAAATTTTTCTCTAATTCATCAATCTTCAATTCATATTCCAGTTAACTTTTTTCTCTTTTTTCTCTTTTCTCTCTTTCAAATGAATCTTCTTCATCTTCCTCCTCTACAATGGCATAAAAGACATCATCATCGTCATAGTCCTAATTTCTATCATGTTAAGACTTCTACTCTTCGCCATAATCCTCTAAATCATCCTATTCAATTTCTTCATCATCTAAGAGCGAATCATCATCAATATTTTATATTTTTTCAAGCCTCTATTCACGACTCACATCTTTTGAATTACTCATGCTTTGCTCTTAGAATTATTGAATTTAAGCTCTGAAAGAATTTAAATTTCTCTCGAAATAATCTGAATTCTATGTCATCAAGGCCATTGGGGTTTTATTAAGTTCATCCAGATTATCATCTAAAAGATTGTCATCTGTTAGGAGATTCATATCCTAGTTTATAGAAACGAACCTTGATTACATATCTACTATTGATCTTTAATTCTAACTATCCATCATTTAATCTAAAAAGGTCAATCTACCTACAGCAAATTACGGCGGCTAGTCGAAATTCTACTTTGGAGTGTTATCATTAGATTAATTTTTTTGAATACTTTTTATTGTTTTTCTAATCATAGGTCTCTATGTCGAGCTTCTTCTATTATTAGGATCAAGAGTATCGTTTTCATTTTAATACTTTTCTTCCTCAAAAGAGTTTTTAATTACAAAATCTCTAGCATTGTCAATTCTTTTGCTCATCCTAGCGTAGAGAGTGCTTTTTCTTTAATTGCTTTACAAATTTGGATTATTTCTACTATTTGATCCTCTCATCTTATCAAATTTTTTCATAAAAGCAGCGACTTTCTCAGACACCAGTATTTAATCAGTCAATTTTTTTATCTCATTATTTAATCTAACTTTCTCATCTACCTCTTAATCAAAATCTTAAGGCTTCAAAGATACACCATTTTTCTATGACATCTGCCCTTTTCTCTATATTAAATTGTCCATCGCTACAAGCGACTATCTAAGCAATTTAATTTTCTTTTTTGTTTTATGGAGCTAGGATTGTTGGGGAGATATTGAGTTTGTTTATACTTATTATTTGATCTATGGTATTTTATTAGCAAATTCTATTGTTCTTTTATTTACTCTGTAATGCTAATCACATGGACTTATATTACAAATCCAGAGCATCTTAGAGTTCCCTTCTAAGTATGGCTACATAAATCTTGTAAGTTTACTCTCTCTGTAAGGTATCCACTCATTCATATCATTTCCTTCACTTAAAATTGTGATTATTTACTCTAAAGTTATAAGACTTTTGATTGGGAAGAATGCCTCTCTCTATTATTAAGAATTTCTATCAGGATCTTCTTTTTCATTGAGAGCTTCACTCCCACCTAAATCAACTAAGTTGATTACTGACTAATTAATTTTATTGATCTAATGTTATGATGCTTCAGGGCAATAAGTTTCAACAATTATTCTGAAAATCACATGAGCTTTTGAATTCCTGTCATTATTTTTAGTTGTTCCTAGTTGACGATTAATATCCCCCATTCTTACAAGGGATATAATTTGATCTATATTTATGCAAGCCTCTTCTGTAACCTTATCAATATTTGAGCCATTTGTTCGCAAAGTATTTGGCGAGAGCAGATCATTAATTTGCTCATTATAAATTTCAAAATAAGAAACTCTAATTAGAAATTCCAAATCTACCCTCTATATATAATCTTATGAAGAAATTTTTACTTGATATATATAAGCAAACATAGACTCCAAAATAAGTGGTAACAGACCAGGAGATTTTTCTTTGTTGCCAAATATTGTATGAGACTTGCCAGAGCCAGTGTGACCAAATGAAAAGATGCAAACTAAATGCAATATTTAGATCATTGAATAATTACAATTTTATCCATCCAAAGAATTCCAAAGCTATTGTTCAATCTCATTATCTTCATAAATTTACTCTGTACTAAAATTATCACTATATAGCTTCACATCATTTTCAATCTTAATCTCTTTTTCTCGAAGACTGTCAAAAAGTTTACCTTCTCTCTCTTCAATGATAGTGTTCTATCCTGCTTCCTATTTTAATATCAACAGAAACTTGTATGTTACTTTTTTCGTCTAAGGTCTTAACCTAATCATAGATGATGATTATTCAATATAATAAATGTCTCTAGTAAGATCTTTACGCTAGTTTGAACCTACTGCTAAATATTCTGAATTGGACCTCTGCTATGGCAGCGAGTTCATCTTAACCTCTTAATTTCTTGTGATGACTTTGGCACTCGGCCTATTTTAATAGCTTTTCATTCTATCCTGAAATTCGCTCTCACTTAAAGCCAAGGTACCATCCTCGCTAGATTTTTGTTTATTCAGAAACTACTAGAAATCATCTGAATCTTAATTCAGATCTTCTTCCTTTATAGAACTCTCAAATAAGTCATCATCGCTGTTACCTAATAACTTCTAAATGCTTTATATTGATTGATGTGGTCTTTCTTAGCGTTAGCTTTGCTCTTTGCCTAATCTAAACTATTGAGTGTTAGGATTAGGGTCAAGTTTTTCAACCTAAATTGGAAACATTTAACTTTGAAGAGTGTGTTTATATACCTTGATATTTGAAGTTAACTTAAAATCCATTAATATTTTAATGATAGCCCTAAAGTTCAAAATTAAAATAAATCAAATAACTTAAAACACTAGTTCAAATGCTTGTTTTTACTGTCTCACGGGGTTTTGGGGTTTTGGGGTTTTGGGG